TTCAAATTTAAATAAACAATGACCCTATCATGTATTTAAAATAAGTTCTATAAAAATATTATAGTCCAATAAATCGCTAAATTAATTTATGCAATTTAGTTCCTTCCATTCGGTAACAGCGTATTAAGTCATATACTTATATTCTGTTGTATCTTTTAGCACAGAGCCACACACTATGCCACAAGTCCAATTTATTACTTTAAAAGACTTCACCGTGCATTTAAAATAAATTTATAATCATTTTATAGCACCCTAAACCGTCAGATTAAAATTAGTCAGTAAATCTCCTTCCAGCCGTTAACTGCACGCAAAGTTGTCAAATAGCGTACCGTTAATTCTATTAAAACTAAGGGGTAAATTTATGCAATTCAAGACCTTAGTTACATGTTAAAATAATTATTTAAAAACCCATTAAATTTCTAAAACTGTTCAATAACCCAAAATGCTCAAAGAGTGACTGAAAAGTCACTGTACGCACAAAACAAAGAAAGAGCCTGCTCTAGAAAAATGGAGCAGGCGTGGCATAGAGCCAGCTCTAACACCACCTTGGAGCCAGCTCTAACAGGTAGGAGCTGGCTCTTGGCATTCCAGAGCCGGCTCTCTCTCCCCCTGTGAGCTTTCAGCCTCCGTTCACTCCGTTTCAGCCTATCTGTTCTGTCCTCGGCCATTCGAACCCTACTGTTCTTCCTCTAATTTAAACTTACAAGTCTTAAGTTACATTTATTATCCATTCAACCCTTGGTTGGTTTTAGTAGGATTCAAAACAAAATTAAAACAGAGAAACGTTTTAAGCCAAAACAAAAACTAACACAATATACATAACAGAAGGGTTTTGCAGATAAGTTTTCACAATTAAAAGACGATCAGATAGACATATACAAATCATGCATGGTTAAGTTAATGGCCAATTAATCTCCTAGAGGCTGTCTAGGTGCACAGAACACAAGCCAGAAGGTAGGAGGAAGAAAAGAACTTGCTTGTACAGTTTTATAAACAAAACCTTGTCGCCGTTGTTCTAAGCTTTCCGATGACCACTGCAATATTGTCTAGCCTCCTATAACTTATGTTCCTTCCTTCTCCTAAGCCTAATCTTGAAGCCTCGGTTGGAAACCTCACAAACTTGCTCTGCTCTTTCAAAGCCTTACTCTGTAACTCTCTGAATCTATGTTACGTGAGTAGGGTTTTTCCAACCCTTAATACAGATTATAACTATGTATATATAGGCGTAAAAATCCTAAACCCCAATCCTTGTTTAATTAGAGACAGAGCCCTAATTCTAATTCTAGTCGGCCCATGAAACTATCTATGTTACCATACTGCGGTTTACCTATACGTGAATTGCAAACCAAAGTTAACTGTAACTTAAGAATTAAATCAAATAATAAATAAAAACAATTAAACCAAATAATCACCAAAAAATACAATAAAATAATAAATAAATTGCCGAGACTATCCTTTTAAAATTAGGGGTATTACACATTCCCCAATACCACAACATCAATAACCTCCCCAAGTTAGCCCATCATCGTCATCCCATTCAACTTAAGCATTTACATAGTCTCGCTTTCCTTCAAAATAGTAACAAGAGTTATGATTTATAATACATGACATTGGCTTGCAAAAATGAATACACGACATTCTAGTTTTGAGACTATACCAAAAAAAAAAAATGGCTAAGATGCAAAAGATAACAAAATACAACTCCTAATATTCTTTAAGCTTGCGGGGGATTATCATCCGCCACTTCTTTTCTGAGCCTTGAAAAATGTTAAATAATGGGGTGAGCAAAAAGCTCAGTAGGTGGTGTCTAAAACGCACCTCTTGTAACCTCGTGAACCCAAATAATGAATAGGATAATAGGGAGAGGGGTCATGCTAAACCGGGAAAAATACAATGTAAATCTGCAAGTTCAAAACAAATGAATGTCGTGCCATGAATACAATTTCATGCATGTCACTTCCCATTTTCAGAAAACTTCCACCACTTCACAAACTGTTAATATAACCTGTCCTTTGGTGACTCCGCAGCGACACAAGAGAAGAAATGACTACTGTCCTTGACCTTTGGTACCTCCGCAGTGTCATTTAAGGCCAGATAGCTCAACCACGCTAGGGCAATCTCCCTAGTTCCCTTTAGGCTATGTTAACGCACCGGCCCTCTGGTGACTCCGCGGCGACCGAGTTTTCTCAAAACCGTTTCATCAAATTCTCCCCAAAAATTCCCTTTTTCATTCTTATCAAATCATTGTACCATTTTTCATCCCCATGCTATGAATGCATATCACATGCCTTTTTAATACTATAGAAATTGAGAAAATTATTATCACACAATTAACATACTTCCACATAAAATTTCCAATAAATTATTAAGCATCATAGGCATGGAAAAATTAACATATTAAACATACTTTACAATAATTCTAAGAAAATTTTCATAAACTTTCATGTATCATTTTTAGCAATTTTGTCAACACAATAACATAAAAAAATTAATAATGAAGCATGTTTTTTATACAAATCAACAATTACATATAAAAATCATGAACTCTACACCCACAAAAAAATCATGTTAGAGGTAATTAATTTTCAATTAAGCATGTTGGCATCAAATAACAAGAATTGACTCACAAAGGAACAAGAAAATGCAAATTAGAGACCTATACCTCAATTTTATGCAAAACCCCCAATTTCTTCACTTCAAACCCTAGGATTACGAATTTCCTACGGTGCACCAACCAATGAATTGCTCCTATCAGCTTGTAGGCCTCGCCGTGAGCTTCAATTTGCCGCAAATAGCGCTTAAAAGTACCAAGAATTGAGAGAGGAATCAAGCATAGAAGCTTTGAGAGGAAAACAGAGCTGCGGGGAAAGGATGAGAGAACAAAGAGTAAATGTGGTTTCATGACCACTTAAAACATTCGTGGGTCCCACCCATTTTCTCTTTTTATTTTCCTTTTTTCTTTTTGTTTTTAATTTATATATATATATATATATATATATATATATATAAACTTAAACATTACATGGAAATAAGTTAGAAAATAAAAGAAAAGAAATAGAAAGTGAATGAAAAGTGAAGTCAATGAAAATAAAAGAGATTTTCTAGCATGCATTTGGTTAGCATGAAAATTTATCCTAGAAAATTGTAGAAAAATATTAGTTTGTTAGTTTGAATAGCATAAAAATGAAAAGAAAGTGATTATGCATACTAAAACTACCCTTATGAAGTAAAATTATGGATTATTAAATTCAAATATATAATTGTTTATATTCATTTATATTATTTATATTTAGAATAAGGCTTCATAATATTTTCTTAGGTAAAACTAATTATTAGTTTAAGATAAATAAATTAAATAAAAAATAAAAAAATTAGAGATGAAAAGGCAATACTACTGTTTGGGAGAAAAATCAAATGGTGAAATATATATATCCATTCCGGATTATGAGTGGTTAGAATTGCAATATAGAACATACTATTAAAAAAAAAAAATTTTTTATTTAGAAGTAAGATATATTTTGAGCAATTTTACCCAAATTATCATTGATATTCTGTATATATAATTGTATAATTTGCGTTGCGAACTTACCTCAAAATAGAAGTTTACCTTATAATAGAAGTTGTTTTGGAGAGAACTTTGCATTTACTGGGTAAAATAAGAACTCCAAATAAATAAGCGTTACTTTCATGTGAATTTTTTGAAGGAAATTTTTTAAGGAGAAATACTCAATAAGGGAAACTAAATTTTCCATTAGTTTTCTCTTTATGTCTATCCAAACTCTAAAAAAATATAAAATTTTTCTCTTTCCTTTATTTTCTAAATATTTCCACACCTAACCAAACAAAGCCTTATCACAAAAAAACTTTAAGAGAGAAGGAAACTCAGAAATTTATTATATCACTGAAATAACCTCTTCTCCTTGTAGAGAATGTGAGAGTCGGGATGACAAAATATCCGGCTTTGTCTGGTACTCACTCTCACTCATTTCATTTAGAACACAATTGTGGGGATGTATGGTTTTGAGGCCGGGATACAAGGGTTAGGATTGAAAACTCACATGGTTAGGTCACTGGCCCCACTGTTTATAGTGATAAATTACAATTTTGTCCTTATACTTTAATTTATATTCAATAATATTAGGTATATATTAAACAAATTCTAGATTATTCTATTATAATTATTAAATATCTTTTTGTATTATTCTTATTTGATAATGCAAAGATGTAATTAAAATTTTAAGAACTGAATTTTAAGTGATAATAAAAAAAAATATATTTTTTTGATATTTTAAAAAAAATTCAACGTTCACCATTCAGTGATAAGTGATATCTCTATCACTTAAAATTTATCTCATTTTAAGTAGTGCGTACCAGTGATATTCAAATTGCGTAATCAAATACACTTATTTGGATAAACGCTGAATTCGTTCGAAATTAAGCTTTAAATTGAGTTGTCAAATAACACCTTAAAAAGTTTCAATTAAAAAATTGAATTTTGTTTTTATTTGCATAAGACAAAATGAATTATTACCAGAGATAGAAATTTATTTTTATTATTTATTTTTGTTAGATTTCTAACATAATTACAAAAATACTCTAATTTATTTTCGTTAGATTTCTAACATAATTACAAAAATACTCTACAAAAATCATCTCGCCTCTCCCCCAACTGTTTAATTTGAGAAATTATTAAATGATTTTGAAAGATGACTAATTCAGTTTAGACTAAAAAAATGATCTCACATAAATATATTATTATATTAACAGTTTAGATTAAATTAAGTTACTAAATGTCAAATAATTCATAATTATCTAATAATTTTTCTTTTAATAAATCCTTTAGATATAAATGAAGACAGCTACTACCTAGATCCCATATTAATGGTCTATTTCAAAAACTTTAACTCACAGCCACTAGTATTTAATACGAAATCGCGTACCCCACCTCAAACCATAATTTTTTTATTGTTAAGAATATCATCATATAATTGTGGCGTGATTACAACACAATCTAAATAGAGTTAGCCACGAAAAGACAGGTAGAAACCACCTGACCAATATTGAATCAAACCGTTCAATATTTGACGGTCACGAGCATTTGCATTTGTTCCTCACTTGCTCTTCGTCACTACCACTTTGCTTTCTTTTCGTTTCGTCCTCTTTCTTTGTCCAGATCAACAAATATTATACTACTCTTCTTGTTTTTGCTTATAACAATAAAATCTCACTCCGCCGGAAAACCGCTTTCCGCTTTTGAAGGAAACCGGTTTTCCGTCGTCAACCAAAGGATCAGCTGACGGAACAGAATTTTATTTACTCCTGTTTCGGGTATGCGGTTGCTCTGTCGTCAACGGTGGTTTTGTTTGACTTCTGCTTTGCTGTTTTTGTCTTTCTTTATTCTGAAAACATCGTGCCCATTAAAGTAAAAAAAATAAATGCTTCTGTTTTAACTTTTCTTTGAACAATTATTATTTCACTACAAAAATTGCAGTTTTAGGGTTATTTTGGTCGAGTAAGTCTTTCTCAAACAATCGGTAATTTGCGCTAATCTGAATTCAATTTGGCTAAAAGGGCTGATTGATCATTTCAATCTATGCTTGTATCGTTTACAAATTATAATATATATATATATATATATATATATATATATATATAGGAGGTCAATTGTTGAAATTTTGGTTCTTTGTAAAATCCATTTTTTGCTTTTGGGTTGGTGAGCATTGTGTTGGTTTTGTTGGTGGATTTGGGTATTGCTAGAAATTTGGTTTCTTTCTGAGAAAATGTCTTTCATTTTTTTTTTTTTTTTTTTTCACTTTGATATTGATGATTGAAGATTGAGTCAGTTTTGGTTATTATCGGTAAATTACTGATTTTTGTTGTTTCTGTTAGATGTGAATTGGGGTTTTAGGAGATGGTATGATTTTTGGAATAGGATAATAGGTACTTTTAGCAAGCTGATTTTCCTTTGAAAAATAGTAGCATTGGGTAGTTAATTAATAGTTTTAAAAGTTTATAGATATTCCTTGGGATTTTACTGCAAGAAGTTATCGCAAAATTGAAATTTCCCTTTCATATTCGATTTATTTATGCTTCAGAATGCGATGAGCTCTGCTTTTCTAGATCTTTATACAACAGCCAATTAACCTTGAGAATGAATATTACTAGAAAGTTCATGAATGGCTTTTAGAGCTTAGTTAAACATTCATGTGATTATGGAGTATGGGTGGATATCGTTTTGTGAATGAACTACAGTTTTATTAGCATATAGGTAATTTATCATTCAGCCTGTCTCTATAAAAATTAACACAGAATGGCCACAACTATGAGAAGGAATTGCCAATTTTGTCCTATTTTATTATTATTATTATTATTTTTTTTGTATGCTGATTTCATATCCATATTAGTATACTATTATTTATTTATTTATTTATTTATTTTTCTTCTTATGAGAATTCATGTTTGGAATTCAGCAGGGGCTGATCTAGGAGTGATTTTAGCATTAGTCTTTGGCTCCTAATATCTAGCTGGAATCAAGTGATTTGACCATCATCAAGCTATATTTCGAGAAATGCTGTTTATCTGAAATTTTTTGTTTGATCTTTGTGCTCCTGGAGATTAGGGTGAAGTGGGTTTTGATGAGATTAAATTGAGACTGTTGAGACACCAATGATTCTGTTACTCCTGTAACAACATCGTTTGATTCATTACTTGAGATTGCAGAGTTGAAATACTGATCTTTTATGATGTATATAGAGATAAGGATGGGATTAAAATTCAAACAGATCCTGTTATTTTTGCTGTTTGTTGTAGTGTTTAGTGGGAATGTTATGGGAGAGTCAGAAAAAGAAATTCCACAACAGTTAAAAGCCCCTGCGTTGAGGAATATAGGAGGAAGTGTTTTAGATGGCACCAATACAACAGATGCCTATCCTTCTCATAGCACTATAAATGGACCAGGTGAATGGATGGGTGGGAATAGCAAAGTTTCAGCATCCACAGTTGCATTTTTCACACTGGCAATGGCTGCTGCTACTGGTTTAGGTGCAGTGCCATTCTTTTTCGTGGAGCTTGATCCCCAGTGGGCTGGAATATGCAATGGAATGGCTGCTGGGGTGATGTTAGCAGCAAGCTTTGACTTGATACAGGAAGGACAGGACCATGGTAGTGGTAATTGGGTTGTGATTGGGATTTTGACGGGTGGCATTTTCATTTGGCTTTGTAAGAAGGTAAAAACTCTGTTGTTTCATGTTCATTTTTCCCCTTTTCACTTTAAGATTCAGTTTCTGCTTCTTGAAGGTTGAAATGTGTTTGATGTTATTCTTGAATTTGTTTATTTTTGGTATTACTATTATCATTGTCATCACTGTTGTTCCATTAATAATTTTTCTTAGTATTACAACTGTCATTATTGTTGCTATTGTCTTTATTGCGATCATCATCATTTCAATAACTTTCATGCCCAAAATTTTTCTTACTATTATAATTGTCATTATTGTTTCAGGATGACTGTTGCTATGACATTTCACTGTTGTCCTAATACATGATACAATTAAAGTAATAGTTGTGTAGCACAGGTGTTGGTGTCTGATTTTGTCATTTTAAAAAACCTGAACTGCATTATACAAGTGATTCTATTCACACATGTCCTACAAACCTACATTTGGGAGGTTTAACATGGCATTCCAGGTTAAAATAGAAGAATTGTTGTCATTGAGATTATAAAAATTCATTCCTCAGGTTATGCTCTCTAATCTAGTGATTCATAGCATGTATTGTTCATTTATTTTTTTGGCAAATATATTTAAACTTTTCTAATTTCTGTTTTTGCTAGCTGTCAAAAATATATCCTGGTTCCTACTTTCTGCCATTATTATAAAAGATTGCAATGAAATAATTTCCAGCTATTATACTTCCTCTCCGGATAAAAATTATCTGAGAGGGATATCGTATAATGTTTATCTCTTACAAAGATTGGTTTTGCCCCATGCATCCCTCCGATCAATGCTATAGAGAGTTTCACTGCAATAACTTAAAATAAATAAAGGATATTAGCCAGTTTATTTCCTGCCTTCAAAGAGTGCTTGGAGGGGAAGATTGAAGAGGAACTTAACCCTTGACATAATTTTGGACAAACAGGTTGTTCTTTGACTCAAACCTGCAACCAGAATATTATCAGTCCAAGCTTTTACTTTTGCATTGAGCAATGCCTCCCCTTTTAAAATTAAAATGGATAGTGAATAATAAAACTTAATTTATAACTTAAATTCTTTATAAAAAAAATATGCATATATGAAGTACTGTTTTTGATAGTAATACATGTTTGCCTCTTGAAGTGGTATTACCATTAATGAAGTGCAAATAGAGTTTTTTGCATGTTCATAATTTCTAATATTAGTTGGCCCTCCATGTCCTGTGGCATGTGGAGATATTGATGTTTGGAGAACAGTATGAAGCAAACTTGGTGTGTTATGGGGGAACTTAAATATAATGAAAGAATGAAATTAGTGAGTGACAAATCATAGCTTTAGGAGTTTAAGTGCTTGACATGGATAAACATATTCAGGAATCATACAACCATGGGGATGTGTTATGTATATATTGGGTAGTAAACTAGTACTAGAAGAATCTAGATCTTAACTGCTTCCTCTACTTCCTGGACTACTGAAGCCAATGTTAGTAAGTTGGGTTTAAATCAATAGCACCTTTATATTTGGTCAACTTCCTGCTTGTCATGGCATATCTGGTAGTAGTAGGGCTGCAAATGAGCCAAGCCGGGCCGAGCTTTACCTTGCTCGGGCTCGGCTCGCCAATTTCAGGAGGGTGCTCAGGCTCGGGCGAGCTTGGCCAAACTAGGCTCAGGCTCGGCTCGCCAATATTTTGGCAAGCTCGGGCTCGCCTTCAAGCCAAAATGAAAAGAAAAAAAAAAAAAAAAACAAAAAACCTTTAGATCTAATACTGTTTTGACAATGGATCGAAGAGCATCACTTTTGCATTCTCCGATCATTTTTCTGATCTCCCCAACACTATATTGGAATTGAGAAATCGGGATCCAAAGAGAAATCTGAGAGAGAGATCTATTGGAAACCCTCACTGTAAGAGAGGAAATCGATGTTGAAAGGGATGGGATTAGAGGAGTGATGTTGCAAGATTTGTTTAGGGTTTCATAGCAAATATTGCAAAGCTTTGTTGGAGACAGTCAACGGCGTGCTAGAGAGGAAGAAGCGACGTTGTGAAGATTGGAGGAACGGTTGCTGTAATGAATTTGGTCAGAAAATAACGCCTGATATAAAGATATATATAATGATGATAGGGTAAATGTAATAGGTTAAGTAGACTTGGGCTTAAGGTGAAGGAAAGTTGGGCTTAATGTTAAATGAAATTGGGCTGATGAATATGTATTTAGATTGGCTTTATATTAAATGGGCCACATAATTGTATATTAGTATAAAATAAAAATTAATCATTTTGCTAAACGAGCTTGTTCACGAGCCTAACGAGCCGAGCTTAGCGTTGCTAAAGCTCGGCCCGTTTACTAAACGAGCCTAAAAAATGTGTTCAAGCTCGGCTCATTTATTTCACGAACGAGCCCGAACCGAGCTTTTAACGAGCCGAGCCCGAGCTGTTCATGAACAGCTCGGTTCATTTGCAGCCTTAGGTAGTAGTTGGTTAGTTGCGTATTATAGTCATATTCATGTTAAACAAAGACTTGTTATGACTGAAAGTGTGGAAATCCTGTGCTTGTGCACTGAGATACTTTTGATATATATATATATATATATATTTGGGTTAGTGATCTCGGATATGTGTTTAATTATCTGGCATGGCTTCTCAAAAGATGTAATTGAGTGGAGAGAGGTACTTGTGATTCATTCAATCAGTTTTATCTCACCAGGTTTGCTACATATGGTCAATTCCTGTTGGTGTGTGACTAATTACTATGCTGTTTGAAATCTGTCCGCCTCCATATAAGTCAGTCCACAGAAAATTTCTTGCTGCTCCTTTGAAATTCCCCGTGTTTATAACGTAGGGTATTTCAGTGGTCCATTTTTATTGGTAGCGATAGCTGGGTCTGACTAAAAGCGTAGGAGAATGGGAAGCTTCCAATAAATCTTCTATGTCAAAGTTCCCTTTTTTTTTTTTTTTTTTTGGGGGGGGGGTTGGTCTGTGCTTCCAGTAAATGCCAATCATCAGTGAGATTTTAGACACTTCAGCCTGTATGCGTCACTTATTAGTGAGTGGAATTGCCATAATATAGTTAAAAAAAATGGTAAGGCTGGTTGACTAGTGTTGGATGTGCATGTCGCTTTACTCTACTCAGCCCGGAATTTTCCTCTTCTTTAATAGGTATTAAATGAGCCAAGTACAATTTTTTTTTTTTTTTTTTCCCTTAGATCTTAAGTCAAATACTTAAATGTTACATGCTTACAGCACATGTCAGATTCCAGTTACATGTTTGTGACTTTCAAACTTAATTAATCCAAAGTTTGAGTTAAATGAATTTCTCATTCACATGTCAGTTTCCTCTTGGAAAATTTAGCTCATAGAAAAACTGTAACTAGGTTTATCTTATTGATTGTTCAATACATGTGATGGCATATCATTATTTTACATTTTTATTCTAATGTTCAGTTTCTTGAGCAATATGGTGAAGTAAGTATGTTGGACATAAAAGGAGCAGATGCAGCTAAAGTCATTCTTGTTGTTGGCATCATGACTCTTCATTCATTTGGAGAGGGGTCTGGTGTTGGAGTATCCTTTGCTGGCTCAAAAGGTTTATCCCAGGGAATTTTGGTAACTTTGGCCATTGCTGTACACAACATACCAGAGGGCTTAGCTGTGAGTATGGTGCTTGCAACAAGGGGTGTTTCTCCACAAAAGGCAATGTTATGGAGTGTAATTACATCATTGCCTCAGGTAATATATATACACTTTTTGGTTACTGAATGTGGTACTAGTAGCACGGGCAAATGGATCCGGAGATCATATATTTATTCTTATCTCATGGAAATAGATATATGAGATATCAAAAGCAAATGGATTTATAATAGAACTGGACCTGGATAACGACCTTGTCTCCTTCAGGATTTGTACAAATCTTCTTATACTATGTTTGACTTGATTTTTGTAGAATATGTTGTAAACTCAACATCACAGTATTCAAAACCTTAGATGTGGTGTGGTAATGCTTCTGTTTTGTGTTTTTCTGTTGTGAAAACCAAAAAACGGAAGCAAAGCGGAAAGCGGTTTTGGTATCGCTGCTTTTCTTTTTAAACATTGAAAACAACATCCAAAACAAGCCATAAAATGGAAGTGCAAAAAAATGTCAACCTATGTTGTTTTGAAAGCAGAAGGGCCGAATCACAGGGAAGTGGCATAAAATGTAACATCTTTTAGGAAACTATAATCAAAACATAAACTAAGAAAACAGAAATAGTAAACATAAAACACAAAAAAGTAGCAGTACCAAACTACCCCTCTTATTTTCTTGCCATCAAGAGGCCTTTTATTTTGTTGATAACCGAACCACAAGCATAAGAGGAATCTCGGGCTTTTAATTTTATATGAATTGCTAAGAGGTTCAAGTTTTACTCTTTTTCCTTGTACGTATGCTTAATTTGTCTCTAGTTTCAACCCAATGACCTCTCAAATCTTTCACTGCTGCAGCCTATAGTAGCAGTCCCTTCATTCATATGTGCAGATGCATTTAACAAGTTCCTGCCATTTTGTACGGGCTTTGCTGCTGGGTGCATGATCTGGATGGTGATTGCAGAGGTCCTTCCAGATGGATTCAAGGTAAAATGCCTGGTTTTCTGGTTGACTACTTGATCTTAAGGATCCCTTGCGCACCTCCCCATTGTCTAGTACTGCTGTACATCTTTTCTTGTAATAAACAATAGTTTAATGGGTTCGTTTTCTCATAATTTCTCTGATACTACGAATTTTTTCATGTCTAAAACTTTGATGAGTTATTTTCTGAATATCTTTTTTGGATTATAGGAAGCCTCTCCAGCTCATGTTGCATCGGCCGCTACGCTTTCAGTTGCATTTATGGAAGCTCTCGGTGTTGTATTTCAAAATTTCAGTCATAATTATGGGTAAGTTGTTTCCAGTACGGAAGTGTCGACCATCTGCTTATGGTACATAAGTGATTCTCTGAAGTAGTTTTTGTTATTTTATTTTGCCCCCAGTTACATCCCTAAAGTGGTAATCTGGCATATTAAATTACTCACTTCATATATGCTGGAAGTGTATTCCTCGTTCTTCTAAAAAAGTATCACCAGTGCTTCATTCATTAGGCATGGATGAGTTAATTTTTTTACATCATTACCTTTTGTTTGATACAGGAGGGGTGATAAATTTACAATTTTACATGGTGTAAAAACAAAAAATTTATAATGCGTATGAAAATCACCTCAAACTGTGAGGAATAACCTCAAGGCACAATCCAAGAGACTATGTTTACTCCAATACGAAGAATACCCTTTGGGACATTCTCTTGTCTCGGCTTCGTCAAATTAAGTGAATTTTACAATGACCAATATAGCCCCTTCCGCCCTTGCAATCACTGCCGTTAACGTTCATACTTCTTAATATTAAGCAAAATTTTTTTTCTTATATATATATATATTAATCCCCCACAAAGATGTATTAACCCATCTGACCATACCAAAAGTGTCAAGCTGTGAAAAAGCAACTAATCACCCTGTGTTTTCACTCGGCTTTGGATTAGGTTGTAAAACCGGTATCCATCCTTACCCCCAAAATTATCTAACTGATCATACTTTGGGGTAAAAACGGCACAAGTTGAAGCATAATAGTGGTAGCATTCTCCGCTTTTAACTAAATTTCGATTGCTTCATATGCAGCTTGGAGGATGTTTCTGGCTTCTTTGTTTCACTGCTTTTTGGTCTTGGGCCATTGCTTGGTGGCATTGTTCTTGTTGCATTTGCTCTTGCTTTCCGTCTTCAGCATGCTCTTCTGAGTGGTGTAGCCTCTGGCATTGCCTTTGTCCTTGGTGCCTGGCGACCATTACAGCTACTTGTGTCTTCAAAGATGGGATTTTTCCCCCTGGTTGTGCTGCTTGCCATGGGATCTGCATTTGTCCACATTTCAACTTCCAGTGCTTTGAGGCTTGCAATCCGCAAAAAGACTTCAGCGGATACCTTATCTGCAGTAACAGGCTTTCCAATGAGTGCCCTCACACTTCAGTCATTCTTGTCATGTGTGGCAGTTGCCCTCCATGCTCTGGCTGAGGGACTTGCATTAGGAGTGGCTGCACCTAAAGCTTATGGTCTTGGTCGACACATGGTCCTTCCAGTCTCGTTGCATGGTCTCCCAAGGGGTGCTGCTGTAGCTAGCTGCATCTTTGGCGCAACTGATAGCTGGCAGGGGTCCCTTGCAGCCTCTGCGCTAATTGGGTTTGTGGGCCCGTTATCTGCAATTGGAGCGATACTCGCAAGAATTGACTATAGTGGCCTGGACCATCTGATGGTGTTTGCATGTGGGGGATTACTCCCATGTTTTGGCCACATAGTTGGGAGAGCAGTGAAATTGGACACAAAGAAGAGCAGTTTTGGGCTGATTACAGGCATTGGAATCGCCAGCGTCTGCCTAACATGCACTAAGTTGGTTTGCTTGCACACGCCTTACTGCAACTCTGCACCAGAAGCTGTCAGATGATGATGATGTCGGAGCTCATGCACGATGTAACTGCACAGATGTGAACTCACTTGGGCCCAGCCATGCTGCATACAAGTTAAGGTACAAAAATGGAATAGAGGATGTTGTAATGCTTGTAGACTAGAGTTTGGGGAGAGTAGGATAAAGGAAAGAATTATAGAGGATAATATCTCACTGTGCAAGGAGAGAAGGAAAATAATATATTGCTTGCACATTCCCTATGTATTTCTTTACCTTAAAATGATAGGTGAGCCCTTTCATTCGATTTTGACTTCATTATATGCAGAGAGAATTTTAAAATAGAATATTTACTCTTTAGCCCACAAATGGGGTTGAGTTAGGACTCCTTACATATATGATGAACAGAGACTCTGATTTATTCTCATGCATCATCTAACAAAATGACTGTGATGTGATTATTCGGAATGGGTGAAAAAAAGTAATTTGTCTTTTTTTTATTTTATTTTTTATGATGGGACAATTTCAGTATAGGAATATGATATTGATAACATGGCATATGATTGCATTTCAAAATCTAAAGAAGAGTTCTTCATCTCAAGTCATGAAAATTTGTTTCTGTTTATTTTTTTTTTTGTTTGCAGATCAACTAAAATGTTGACTGTTTTGTTTTTGACACAGAGGACATAAAAAGTGACAGAGCTCTTGCATCAGAAGTTGCAAATACCCAGGTATCTGTCAGTTTGCAACACATGCTGCAGCAACCCACTAATTTATGTACCTTTGGCATTTCGTCCATACCAACCACACCTATAAATATACTACCAAATTCCTCCAACGCACTTGAATTCCTCTGTTAAATCACCAAACTAACTTCACAATTTGCTCAAAGATTACATAACATCATATTATACTGCATTAAATATGAACAACATCTAGTCCAATGGTATAACCTCCTTGTCCTCAAAGAGGAGGTCAGGGGTTTTGAGCTGTACAAGTGTGTTGTATCTTGCCAATGTAAAAAAAATATGCAGAAATGTAACTCTGCAAAATAAAAGAAAAATCATTCAAGATATAATTTCAATATCTACTGTAGCAAACATATTAACTAAAAGATTAGGGAGAAAGAAACACTACTTGAGAATAAAAAAGATTCAAAATTAACTGCTTGTAATAAAATTTGCAAATTCAACTCATAACCATCACAACTAGCAGACAATGTGAACAATGGGGAGCCAGCCAATCACCCAAATGACACCCTACCTTCTTTAAGTGTCTGCTCGTCAATGATTAAGGCTGTTAATCACCAAATCTCAATTAACAGCCCAGTTTATGTGTGTTGACATACAAATTTAATTAGAAGCCACCACACTGCTAATTGTGGACAGAACCGGAAAATTATTAACGACTCAGACTCCTCAGCAGTAGCATATCACTTTACAAATCAGCAGGTCCATGCCTGCTGGATTTACCAACTAGGACGCCATGAAGTTAGGTCATCATTTTGCATACAATAACCACCAAGTCCGATTTATTCAGAGAAAAAAGAGAAAAGAAAAACACAAATTTAAAGACAGCCAATGAGATGAACCAAATCACTTCGAAGAAGAAAGATTGCTCTGCGAATCCTCATTCTCGTTTACTAACTTCTCCTTCTCTGCAGCTAATCCTTCTTCAGCTATAACTGCTTTCCCACCGTCAACGCTCTGAGCTCCTGTTAACCTTGCCAAGATTACAAATGACATCCCTCCAAGAACATTATTCAACATTCTCAATATGACGACTGAGGTTTTAAATACTACAGGTGGAAGCCCCTTGGCAAGCAAAAACTCGATTCCATTCAACGTTTGGTATCTCAAGTTACTGCTCAGACCCATGTGCATTGCCCAAGTAGTAGCATTCAAAATAGTGGGAGGCGGCTTGTTCGGTGTCTCAAAATTCGGATCCATTTTCTTTCTCATCATAATCAGCCCATTTGAAAGAGCTGTTCCAGCAAGTCCAGCTGCAAATCCAACAGCAGCAAACAGAGTTCCTTTATACACGAAAGTCCCAACCCGATTCAGTAAACCATAGGGTCCCGGTTCAAACATGTGGCTTGTGGGGCAATTGGCGAAAATGGAAGGGAGTCTCGGGGTGGAAGAAGACATGGTGGGTGCCAATAGATACATAAGAACAAAATTCAAGATGGACCCTACAACCAGAGTTGAAAAAACAAAATCAAGCTCATTGAGACCAAAATTAGGACGAGAAGCCATGTCCCCAAGAACACATGCGCTAACACCCACTATTTCCTCCATTAGAACCTTGAAAGGGAACTGTGGATCCGCTGCAACCCTTGCTCTCCATCCATTCAAAAAAGCCCCTATGGGTCCAAAACCTCCCCCGGATGATGAATCATCGGATCCATCTGCACTCCAACCACCACCGCCGCCACCAGTGCCGCCGCTTCCCCGTCCTATCCCATCACCGCCACCAACAGATGAAATTTGGAATTTTCCCAGCAAGTTAAAATCCGAAATTTTTCCATGGGGAGAGCAAAGAGAGGGGTATTGAGGCGTGAAAGGCGATGAAGAATTTGGGAAAGATAGGGCTTCAGAACTAGATCTTTGACTGGAAAAATGGTGATTTCTGGTGAGAGAGTGATAATGCCCAGATAAAGGGGAGTAATGGAGCTGCGCCATGGATGCCATTTTTCCAGCCACAAAACCCAGAAAATATATATACACACACACTCCTATATATATAGATTCAAACCAAAACAATCCTGCAACTGGGAAAAAATTGACAAATAAATAAATTATATCATCTATCAAATGTTAAACAATTAAACAACAGATTATGAGAAAAATCAGGCATCTTATAAATTCAAATTTCATATACATATATATATACACATACACATTTATAGATTTAAAAAACAAATGAACGAAGTAGAAAAATTCTACAGATGCAACAATGATAATACAAGGAGGAGAGAAAACTGAAACTCAATACAGGCAAACAGATTGACAAAAAAAGAAGAAAAAAAAAAAGGGGGGTTGATTTTGCTAACCAGATCAGATCTGCAGGGGTTTGGATCTGATGAAACAATCTATGAGAATCTGTGATTGAATTTTGGAGCCGTGCTGCGGATAGAATTGGGTCCTCCTGTGTCTTTCGCGCACACTCAACAGTGAAGTGAGGCATTTTGTAAAAAAATATAGTTACGATTTAAGTAGTAGGTGAAACAAGTTGGGACTCTAAAACCCTAACCCATGACATCATCACTTATTGTCGTATGTACTCCCGCCCCTTCTTTACATTAACACGTGGCAAGTCTGTTAAAGTTATTTAGTATTTTTATTATTTTATACTTATATTTAGTTGTGTGTCAAAACAATTACTCAAATCAGATAGGACACGTAATATTGGACTTTAACTCTAGCTCAAGTTGTTGGTTAAGAATCTTCAAGTTTTTAAATAGGGTCGTGATATTAAGGCTGAGCAGTGGGACCTACTTGTTAGGCAGAATTAGGGCGATAATTCGAGCGGATTAGACGAACTTGAGAAACAACTCGAGTCTAATTTATTATATGAAATGATAAACTTGAGCTCAATGTCACGTTATGATTCCTAACGACACTATGAGCATAGAAGACACGCATGTTGGTTGGTTAAGAACATTCATTGACTGAGAATGGTTTCAGGGAAGGGGCGTGCAAGACCACAAGATGGTACCTCTTCAGAGTTCAGGCAAGTCAACTCAGTTCAGTTCGAGGTGCTTGTCATTAGTCGTGGACTTGACTATGAAGAAGGGAGTTGGCCATCCCTGCACAAACTGGTCGGGAGCTGGAGCCGTTCCCCTGACAAGGTCAAGGCAGGCCGAAACCAGCCAGCATGTATCCTTGGGAGGGCAGGTCGTGGTGGCTGACCAAGACGCTTGCGCGAACTGAAGCAACTCCTTGGTGCTGCATGGGCCGTGCCGCTGCGCCAAATCTCTAGGCCCGTAACAAATGGTATCAGAGCAGGACTTGGGGCAAAGCACAGAGGTGTGCCTCCTTGTCGATCCGGGGGTCTTGAGAATGAAGTGGATGCACTAAAACTTCGGTGGGCAATCAATGCTGTTGGAGGAGAGCCTTCATCTCCCCAAGAAGATGCGTTCTTTGAAGCCGGAGGGCTGCGCGCACCAAAGTTCTTGCAAGTTCAAGAGGTATGCAAACCATTGTGAAGGGTGGGTATCAAGTCAGCCGGAAGGCCCTTGTTTGCTCAGGGTGTCGCGGAGGCGACATAACGTGGGGTTGTGTCCCGAAGAAGTGGGCTTCCTTTTAACCCGAAACCCTGTCATTGGGCGAGTGCAGCTAGGGGTTGTACAAGGAAGCAATAGTGGGCAGGCGAGCATCCAACTTGGAGGAGAGAGACTTTGGAATGTTAGACACAGTGGAGTCAGCGCTGTACTGCGACGAGGGCGTCGCAGCATTCAGGTGGGAGAGTGTCACGTTGTGATTCCTAACGACGCCATGAGCATAGAAGACACGAATGCTGGTTGGCTAAGAACATTCATTGACTGGGAATGGTTCCAGGGAAGGGGCGTGCAGGACCACAAGATGGTGCCTCTTCAGAGTTCAGGTAAGTCGACTCGGATCAGTTCGAGGTGTTTGTCGCTAGTTGTGGCTTGACTATGAAGAAGGGAATTGGCCATCCCTGCATAAACTGGTCGGGAGCTGGAGCCTTTTCCCTGACGAAGCCAAGGCAGGCCGAAACCAGTCAGCATGTATCTTTGGGAAGGCAGGTCGTGGTGGCTGATCAGGGCGCTTGTGCGAGCTGAAGCAACGCCTTGGTGCCACATGGGTCATGCCGCTGCGCCAAATCTCTAGGCCCGTGACATTAATTGTAACCTTATTTTCAATTCTAACTACTTAATTTGAGTCAAACCCATTCTTCTACTTTTAAATTCGGACTTACAACTCGGATTTAGATTTTATATTAAAATTTCGAGTTAATTCGAGTTACTCATATGGCTAATATTCACACCGAAAATTTAATATAATCTTTAATTAGTTTTAGATTAAATTACTCTTAAATAAAAAAAAAAGTTCAAAGACTTTTTGTAAATTTTTAATAAATTATAAACAAATTCTTAAAAAATTAAATCTCCTAAATATTAACATACAATAAGTTAAGATTTAACAAATGGTGTTGAAAAAAAGAAGAAGTAATTATAGTTTAAATATTATATATAGTGTATTTTAAAGTAAAAATATTTATGAAAATAATATTATAATTCGGGTTCGGGTTGGCTCAAATTGCTAACACTTCAAACCAAACCTAACCATAATTCAATTCGGGTTAAGATTTTTTAACCCAAACTCAATTCTAATTGTAAAAATAATTGACCAAACTCGCGAAAAATCGGACTGAACTCGAGTTGGGTTCGGGTTCCCAACCCAATCGCACCCCTTGGGCAAAATATATGTGGCCGACCAATAGACAAAAAATTAATTCAATTTGGCATCAACATCCTCAACATAAATTAAAAAAAAAAAAACATCTCACACGTTGTCTATTCATTCTCTCCTTGTAACAAACTAATATGAAGATCGCCGGTCACCGACACCCAACGTCCTCAATCTCAACGTCGTCTTCATCATTCTTCTGCCGGCTCAACACGATGTCACAACCATCACCCAACTCTAGCAACGCTCCGGCAACCATCACCCAACATCTTAAAGTGGAGAAAAACTCCAGTTTTTTTGCAATTGCACGGCGGGTAGTAAGGACTGAAGACTTCAGGTACGGCGATTCCGCCTATCCGTCCTCCAAGTCTACGGTTTCTCCTTGCCCGCCTATACGGTCTGAGCCGCGGTGGTAGACTGCGGTGAATAAGCCGGAACTGTCGACGGTGGACGGAACGGTGGTGGGTCTTGAACTGAGAAGAGATCCGGAGAGATAGTAACGGTGGTGGGTTACTATTTAGGTTTCTTTCCAATTTTAGGAGATAGAATTTATGTTTTATTAGTTTCCAAAGTTTCCTACACGTATTTAAGTATATATAAATAGGTGAGAGGACAGAGAGAGAGAGAGAGAGAGAGAGGACGCGTTTTTTTAGTCCCCACATAGGATTCTGTTTAATAAATCTGGCAAATCCGTCTGCCTAAATATCATTTTCTTTTTAAATATTATATATATATTTTTTCTAATTAGATTTAATATTATTTTACTAGTATTATTAATATTTTTTATTATTATATTATTAAATAAAAATCATTGGTAAGCATATACCTACTTATTTTGACTCAAACCTTCACTGTTAACGTTGAGAGGGAGATATGATACAAGATTGGTTTTCAATCAGTCTTGCTTTTGTTTTCGGTAAGTCTTGCTGATGCCCACCCAGGTAGTGCCAAAAATTTGTATACGCTGCTGTAATATTCCGGATACGCTATTATTTAAAGAATTCTCAATTTTTCTCCATCCTCTATACCTCTATTTATAGGCTTTTTGAATTAATATATAAGATGATGGCATCTCTCTGGATAAGGACATAATTATAACTGACCCGGACCGAGTATGTTATATTATGATAATTATCTATAAAAATATTATTTCAAATATAATTTAAGTTGACCAAGTTTAAGAAATTAAATAATTTAATTAAACATCTACTTATAAAAAAAATAATTTAATTAAACATGAGACCCATATTTGATGGATCAATTTGTCAAAATAAAAGTTCATTGAAATTTTAGTGTCTACCAATTGCCCCACTTCGAATCCCGCATTTGACCGGACTTGTCTCCTATTTTGGGACTTAAAATATTCAATTTAGTCTTTGAATTGTAAATTTCCTTTTTCGCATCCAACGTTGGATTGTACTTCTCCACGAATTATACAAATAAACTCCTATTACAAATGGGAGATAGTTTATTGCCTATATATACTACTCGTGTCATAAGATTTGTCATCAATTGTAGTATTGTTGAAAACTTATTAGGTTGGAGCTTTTGTCCGGGCAAATAATTGGTACGTCTTTTTTATATTTTTATATTTTTTCACATGTTAACTCTTTCTTTTTTTTTTTTTTTTCATGCTTTGTTCTGTGGCGTGATTTCCTCTTCCGTAGCCCACTGTACCATTGGCATACATAACCATATTTATCCCATTCCTCTCCTATACATAATAACCATACATATTCCATTACTTGTCACATCCGAACAAGTTTCGAGTCATGTTAAATTTTGACATCCTTACATTTAATGAGAGGGATCTCTAGCATTACTATGGGTAGAGTATTATTATTCTTTAAATAAAAAGATCTGGAGACGGAGGCCGCTGCACAATTATGCTAAACCCTAGATACGTAGTATATAATATGCCAGGGTTTAGACTTGAAGATACTACTATTACGAGACTAATACTAGGGTACATTATTAGATATATATGTATATGTTGTATAACTGGTAGCTTAATTATGAGAAACGTAAACCCTACGCTATATATAATTACACCCTAACTCTTTTATATATATATATATATATATATATATATATAAAATATGGCAAATATATAATATACATGCAAATTAAGAAGGAAGCAATTAAATCGATTAGGTAGCGATGGAGATTAAAGAAAGTATCACATTGAAAAACCATTATGGAAACAATTTTATTGATGAAGACTCTTTAATTTGTTCATATCAATAAAATTGTTGCCATAACTGGTTCTTCACTTTTTCACTTTCTGCTGATTAATAGCCAATTTCATAATTCACCATCATCAAGTTAATTTGTAAGTTACAGTTCGAAAAAAGAAGAAGTTAATTTGTAATTTAAGTTCGTGCTTCGGCCTTCGCCTGCAAGTATGTTATGTTTTCTTTTTCTGGTTATTTTACACATTCTGTTTCATATATATATATATATACACACACTTACTTCTATTGCCTAGTGTTTATTAATCATTATGGTAGAGATGATATATATATTCTCATTAAAATATATTATTGTCATTAGATGCATGGTCATTTACAGCTTTAATCCACGTTTCTGCGTTTAATTTCATCATGATTTTTCAATCCAACTTATTCACTAATTTGATCCAGAAGGTTTTGTTTTTCCTTGTTTCGATTGGTTTTTATTTGATTTTAACGACAGATAAGTTTTGTTCATGATTTTTCACCGCCTTTTTTAGTTGGTTGTAACCACAAATTTTGATGATGATTTTTCAATAGATCGTATCCAGTAATTTAATCCGAGATAGTTTTGTTGTGTTTTTTATTTGATTTTGAATTCTTTGGCAAGTTTTTAGTTTTTAGTTTTTTTTTTTCATTAAAAAATAAAAATAAAAATCCTACAAAATTTGATAATGATTTTTTTTTTTTGTTGGTTCTCTTTTTCTTTCTTTTTTCCTTTTTTTTTTTTTTTTAGGTATATGTTTAAAATAAGCCGTAGGGATCAAGCCAAAGAAGATATGGTTCTTGGATGTAAAAATTAAATCTCTGTACGTTTTCAAATTATTATTATTTTCCTTTTTACTGTATATCATCTTGTTCTTTGTGGCTTTACTATTGGATTCTGTAACTAGTTATGTTTTGGGTTTGGGTCTGGCCCATTTTCCGACGTACTTTTGTGAAATATTCTAACACACGCACACACTTCATTCTTCTCTTTATTAAGGTCGTAGGATTATATATATATATATATATATATATATATAACTATATATATTCTTTCCTTTTTCTCTTTATTAGGGCAAGACATTTGAGTGTTCAAATAAAGGGATATACTATACTATACTATAGTCTATACTCCAGTAGTCCAGAGTCACAAGGGACAATTTTATGGTTTCCGCTTGGACAATTTTGAGGTGTTAGTGCAAATTACTCTTATTTTTTAATTCAAGAAACTATCACTCTTTTATTGGACCACTGCAGTGTACTTTTATTTATTTATTTAGTTTTTATAGTTTGTCAATCTGTATAAAACGTCTACGTTTTAGAAACTCCTCCACTCATTCTCCTTCTATAAGGATTATACGAACTTTAATGTAAATTGCTTTCTGATTAGGAAAAGAATTATCACTATATATATATATATATATATATATATATATAGGTCAGTAGCATTATATCTGCATGTACATTCTCTTTACTCGTTGTTCTTTGATTTTGATCGCTAACTGCAGAGTTCAGGTGAGTTGTTTTGATTTTATATTAGCTGAATTTACAATTATTCTATCATGTATTCATATGCTAATTTATTCGGATATATTAATATATTTTTAGTTATATAAACAAATAGCAATAGATTTAAGTTGCTGTATGTGTTACGTATTATATGCATATAATTTATTATTGTAGACATTAGCCAACCTATTCTGATGGTTTAATTCTTGATTTGTTTACCTTTTAGTGATTCTGGAAATAAACATGTACTCATTGGAGGGATCAGATTGGGCTTATCTTCCAAAACACTTATTGGATTTGATTATGCACAAATTGGTTTCGATTTCCGATTGTGTTCGCTTTGGTGCAGTTTGCAAACCATGGCTATCTATGGCAATGGAGAACAAGGTTAAATTCTTTGAAAATAAATGGTGCAGACAAGTTCCATTTTTGATGGTCTCTACTGAAGATAGCAATGAAAGACGTAGTCTTTACAACATTAGTCATAATAAATTATATGATTTCGAATTACGGATACCGTACAAAAAGAGGTTTTGTGGTTCTTCACATGGTTGGTTGTTTACTGTTGAAGAATCATTCGCCATAACCCTAATCAATCCGTTCTCTAGTGATACCATTCAGCTTCCTCCGATTATGGACCGTGCTGAATTTGACCGTGTTGAAGATCATGTTGAGTTTGACCCCGAAATCGATTATTATGACACAACTCTTGGTGAGGTTGAAGATGATGTTGAAAGTGAACACGAAATCGATTATTATGACACAACTCTTGATGAGGTTGAAGTTGAATTTGAAGTTATGAAGGCTACATTGTCTGCTGACCCTGTTTCATCTCCTAATGACTATATTGTTAGTGCGATCTATAGTGGTTATAGAAGACTGGCATTCATTCATCCAGGAGATGACGCTTGGACTTACATTGATAAAGAGAGATTTAACCTCATCTATGATGTTATATATTATAAAGGCAATATTTTTGCAGTTGATTATTGGAGTAGAATCATAATGGTTGATCTTAATAGAAGGGATGGGGAGAGTATGGCTGCTCAAGTGAAGGTAATTGCACCAAAGACTAATGTGCGCAATGAGCGAACGTATCTTGTCGAATCATCTAACGGGGATTTACTTCTTGTGCAAAGGATTATAAAATATGATGATAAAAATAGTTGTCAGCATGAAACTTTAAGGTTTAAGGTTTTCAAGTTGCTCTTAGAACAACTTGAACAGGGTTGGCCTAAGCGGGTTGAAATGAAGAGTTTGGACGGAGACACCCTATTTTTGGGAGATAATCATTCAATTTCTGTTTCAGCTTCCAAATGGCCGGGTTGCCAGCCAAATTCCATATACTACACTGATGACTATATAGACCTTAACTTTCATCCTCCATTTGGTCGTTGTGACATTGGTATCTTCAACATCGAGAATGAATGTTTTGGGACGCATTACACTTTTGATCCTTCACATAAGGATATGCCACCCTCAATTTGGATTGTGCCAACCATGTTAGGAAACTGACTATAAAGTTAATTTTTTTTATTATCTTTTGGTTAAATCTAAAATGTTTAGTTGTTTTTCATTTTTATGTGCTTATACAAACCTATTTTTTTCTCGTATAAAAATAATGTTTGTGAGAATTATAAGGAAATATTGTTTGCTGTTGGTTATATCACTTTATGGTCATAAAATATGACAGAATCGAATTCAATTTTTATTTTTTATTTTTATCTTTTGGTGACCAAGGAAGTACTGGTCTCTTTTTCTCTATCAGCTCATGATTTAAACTATCATATACAGTGCAATTCAGCTCTCTAACGGTTCCTTCATCCAAAACTTTGTAAGACCCACATATTCGCTCTTGAAAAAGTTAGTTGTATTATATGCTACCGAGGTATTAATTCTCAGCCAATTTGTTGCAAGAAAACTAAATAGGATAGTAAAATATATTGGTTAAATAGGAATTCTATAAATAGACGACTCAATGGTAGTGAATGTTCCGGCTATCAACAATATTTCATTTAATTATCAATTTCTTTTTTAAATGATTTTTTTTTTTTTTTTTTTTTTTTTTTTAATGTCAAGTTCCTTTTATTATAAATAAGGAAAGTTCTAAAAAATGTTAGAGAATGTTACAAGTGAAATTTGTTCCACATCGAATTTGGATGAGGTTCTAGTGTGTAAATGAGTGAATATGCAACACGACCCAACAACTTGAGCTTTTGAGTAAATGAGAAAGCCCACCGGCTACATTTATATACTCCACTAGTCCAGGGAGTCGCACTGAATTTCTTTAGGGACAATTTTATGGTTTCTGTTTGGTCCAACTAAGAATTTTATCATCAAAACCTTTTCATCTTCTTAGTCTTGGGTAAAAACTATAAAACCCCCAAATTCCAACATTTCAAATCACACTCATATTCTTTGACCAAACATCCATCAAGAATCCACAAGCGGGTACTAAATGGCGACCAATATGAGTAGATGAGGATAGCCAAAAGCGGGTACTAAATGGCAATCAATAGAAAGGAGTATATATATTCAAACTGATAAGAAGAGAAGAAATTAGTGTTTACTTTGCAAGTTCTGCTTACTAGAAACTACAGGCAAGAAGCAGTTGAGACGGACCTGTCCTTGAGATCCAGTAAGCACTCCAAGGCTTGACAACTTCACCATAGCCCTGGCAAAATCCATTCTGAAAAATGCTGCATCCGCAGCGTAGTCTCTTACAGCTTCGGCTGTCTTCTCGTTTGCCATAAGCTGCTGGTCTGCAAATAGGAGGAGCCCTCTCCCTCTCAGCAAACTCTGATAGTAATGAGAGTCAAAGCCTGGTCCAGAAGAGATAACAGATAACAATTCCAGGTAGGAACCCATCCCCACAGTACACTCATTCATAGCCCTTGATCCAATGGGTGAAGCTCCAAAGTTCGTTATCATATCATCAATAAAATCAGCAGCAATGGGGATCTGGCTGTCCAGTCCCCAAGAAGTTGTTTAGTCTTGGTCACAGCCAATTTTGCCTATATTATGAGATCCTTCAGCAAACAAAAGAACAAATTCAAATCATTTTACTCGAGAGAGTACAATTTTGAGAATGTGAAAACAATAAATTTTAGTGGATACCTAGAAGTGCAACAGTTTCCCTTTCACCGAATCCTCTAAGCCCAAACAAATAAAGCGTTTTATTGATATTGCTGTCTGGCTTTGAGATTTCAGTCATAGCTCTTTGAAAGTATGATCGGTCACTGTCTCTTCTGCCCATCAGCACAGGATAGTATAGACCACCTGCGCGCCTGCAATTTCCAAGAAAACAAACACATCAATGATCTGGAAAGCAGAGGAAGTTAGCAGGAATTAAAAACAACCACCGAATAACAGTGATAAGTCAGTAGAAAATGGGAAGATCGAAATCAGAGAATTTATCAAGTAAAACAGCTTTACTAAAATATTCTGAAAATTGATCAAGATAAAATATTGGCTAGGATAAGCTAGCTGGACATTACAAAGAACAATTAGAATAATACTAGCCATTACAAAATGGGAAATGGTTCTAAAGGAACCAAAACACTTCATTAAAGAACAAATGAAGCAGAAATAGGAATTTCTAAGCCTTCAAAAACAAAAGCCACCATGACTTAACGTTTGGGTTCTTCCATTAAGCAGACACAACAGCTCAACTAAACTACCTGAAATCGGTGGCGATGATACATCATTAAGTCCCTAAACTCTCTATCTCTCTCTCACACACACAAACACGGGCAGAGAGAGAAGAACTAACATTGTTTGTTTTGCAGGTGATATATGTGAAACCAGGATATGAAGCTGCTGAACTTGACTCACTTGTACAAGACAAAGTTCGGCTCAAAGCCTCAGCCAAAGTATATACAAACTAGAATACTAGCTAGATCATCATACATAATACAAGTTAATATGTCAAATATATATATATATATATATATATATATATATATATATATATATATATGCAATTAATTAGGTAGAATTTGTACTGATGAACTTGTTGATGGATTTTCCATTCAAAGGGCACTTGCTCAGTCATGCAAGATATCTGAACCAAAGTTGCAGTGTAAGGGCTTATCAATAATATTTGCAACACTCCAATATTCCATAGGTGTTCATGGTATGGTGTTGATAAAATATAGGGTTAAATGCAAAAAACCCCCCTGAATTATTAGCCAATCAGCAATAAACCCCCCTGAACTTCAAAATTTTCAAAAAACCCCCTGAACTATAATTTTTGTTGCAGATAACTCCATCCGGCGACCGGCCGGTTGAATTTCGCCGTTAAAACCATCACATGCAGTCACGTGATCACACAATATATACCTAATGGCCATAATGCCCTTATGAGCATAAAAGACTATATTACCCTTATTATGAACATTACACCCAAACACACTCTTAGTTTACTGTTACACACAATTACCCAAACACACCCTCATCACTTTATATATATTACATGTAGAGAGAGAGAGAGAGTTACAAACACTGTTTATCTTCTTCATCAAACCCAACTGCAAGATGGTAGTAAGTTTCTTTCCCTGTGATGCCTGCACTACGAATTTAAGGAGGAAACAAGAGAGCCCTCAATTTGAGAACTGGGTTTACAAGGACTCATCAACATTGTGTTTTTACACTACATGATTTGAGTCAAATTGACCTCCATATCATCTAAAGGATTAAAGTTCCAATTAGTTGTTGGGTTACAGTTCATTGATATTATATATATATAAATTCTAATGGTGTATTAAAACCAATTCAACTTCTCCATTAAAGCTTACAAATTTTTTTTCTATTGTGATGAATCTGCTGATCAATTAAATGGTCTATACCAGTCCAATCAAATACTTAAAAAGTTAAATTTTTTGAAATCTTTCTAACAATATGTACTGGGTTTGTTTAAAACAACAAAGTTGCAGAGGTTTGTTTAAATTTATTTATTTTCTTATTTTTTTTAATAATTTGTACTGGGTTTGTTTTGTTCCTACACCCACAATCATACCCATATCAGATTGCAACAGCTCCAAGCCTCCAATAAACAAACCACTGCCAGATATTGATTTTTCCATACCCGGCTTCAAACTCTATGGCCATCGGTGGGAAGCTCTGAGTATCACCGGCCCAACCGAAGATGAAGACATGTGCAGAGTTACAACGACCTATCCATTCCAGCGAGCTCCGAGCAGCAGCAGCGTCCATTGAAGCCGGCGAGCTCCGAATCGAAGTTGTATGAACTGAACTAGAGTTCCATTGAAGACCCAACTGATACCTCCATATAGACGGCGACCAAACCTGAAGAGCATCAACATTCAATCAATCAGAAAAGCTTCAGCGACCTTTATCAGAAAAGCTTCAACGACCTTTATCGGAAAAGCTTCAACAGGGAACCGCAAGATTGCGTTTGAGACAGACCCAGAACCTTCAGCGATTAACTCCGGCTACCCCAAGTTTTAGATGACTTGCATCGGAGAGCTGAAGCGACCCACCAATTCGCGAATGAAGAGATGAACCAGCCGAGCTCACCGCCGTTCCTCCGGCCGATCCTCTTCGTCGTCCCCGTGGCTGCAGTACTTTCCCCTTCTGGGTTTGCAGAGGCATATATGATATACCATATATATGTATAATATATCCCAGTACTCTGTTTGGCTACTAGTGTAGCACTATCCTAGGTCATAGTAAGGGCGGAATTGTCTTTTGCCTTTTCCGGTAACCTGATGGGTTGAATTGCAACAAAACAATAGTTTAGGGGAGTTTTTTGTAGTTCAGGGAGTTTCTTGCAAAACCCCAATAGTTCAGGGGGGTTTTTTGCATTTAACCCTAAAATATTTTAGCATAAAAAAAATGTGATTCATCATGTCAATGATACAATTTTACATCATTTCAAAAGTGGTTATATACTCTAAAGAATCCCATAAATGAATAAGATGGTCATAAAAAGGAAATAAAGAAGAAAAAAGAAAAGATTAAGGGTAACCATAAGAACACCATCTCTAGTAGCAAGAACAAGAATGTCAGCACAAGAAACCACCCCGGGGCAAACTTTTTCCAGCTCCTCTTTGATGATATTTACACAATTAAATCCCTTGAACGTCATGTTCGGAATTGCATTCTTTTCTATCAAGTGATTTTTATTCCCATTGATGTCTTCTAATAGAACTGAAGTATCACAACTGAGAACGTAAATAAAGACCACAAAATTAAGAACAATTAAATCAATACCAGATGACAATAAAGAACAAAACTCACAATAATATACACAATCAAGAACAACTCAATACTCAATGTAAAGGAATTCATCAAAACCTAAGAACAATAACAACTAAATGTACAAATAATTAATGGTGCGGGAACACATTTCAAAGAAATAATATATACAAACCAAGAAGAAAAAACTCAATTCCCAGATGAATAATGTTAGAGATAAGAAATAAAATATATAAACAAAAGAACAATTTAAGAAAAGGCAAAAAGCCACCTCAAAGCCCAGATAAAAAATGGTAAAACCCAATTGAAATAAAGCTAAAAAATAAGAAGATAAACATGAAATTAACATCAAACCTCAATGAAGCAATCGTGGAACAAGAGGCGTAGTAGTTGCGCTGGGGCGTTCCTGTGCTCGAAGGCTATCCGAATCATGGTAGACTTGATGATTCTCGGTAGAATTCGTACTCGAGATTGAGGGCACCTCCTTCGATACCAGAAAGAAAATCTATAGAAACCCAAGAATCCATTGAGGAAGATGGTGAAGCAGAGGGTTTTGTTTCACCTTTGGGGTTTCTCATAGAGATGACGACGGAGACTATAAGTGCCAGAAAGACCCATTTGCTCATCATCGTCATGTTCGATGCGGAAGGTTGAAGAAACTGAGCGGAGGAGTTCGGAGAGAGAACAAAAGCGGGAAATGGGAGCGAAGAAGAGAGAGAGAGAGAGAGAGAGAGAGAAAGAGAGAGAGGCCCTTTTCCAATATTTTTAACCGCCAATCGTAAGTAATTACTAGTATATAAATTCACTTTACCATTGTTTGTATAATTTTAATCGATTGCACATCTACCACTAATATCATATTATATATTCCAGTAGTATTAATTTTCGGCACTGATTCATATACAGTGCTAAATAATAAATACGAAGTTACTTTTTATTATTAGTAAAAGAATTTTTAATCTTATTTTATAAAAATGATAAAAAAAAAAAAATTATAGTAACTTGTTTAATCTTATTTTATAGTAACTTGTCTTTTTGTACATTTATTAGTACGAAACAAAATTTTAAAAGAGATTAAAATTTAAAGAGTTACGATTTTTTATTTAAATAATTCTTAACTTTAAGATCTGAATTATAGTTTAAAATAAATATTAAAATTCATATTTCAAGCAACAACTATTTATTTTAAAAGATTAATATTTATTTTAAAAGCGATTAAATTTTGAAAGAGATTACGATTTTTTATTTAAATAATTCTTAACTTTAAGATATGAATAATAATTTAAAATAAATATTAAAATTCATATTTCTTAACTTTATTGAATTTTAATATTTATTTTAAATAAATATTAAAATTATTTTAAAATAATTTTAAATAATACGGAGTAGCATGGTATAGTATTATTTGAACAATAATGAGAGCTTTATAATAATTTTCCATAAATAATAAGTATGATCCATCTCTCTTTATATATACATATAGAAGATGCAAGAAATTTCTCTCTATTTTGACAGAGTAACTTTACACTTTAAGAATTTTTCAACCCCCTTTTCCCTCTATTTTTAGCCTATTTATAGATTGTTACAAATCTTCTAGAAACTTCGTAACTAACAACTTGTGCTGGGCTTACTACTAGGCTCCTCTTGGTCATGGGCCCGATTCTTTTGAACGGGCCTCCATCATAATCCTCCATTCCTGGGCCTAACTTGTTAAGACCTAGTTCGGACCACTACCATTTTCCCGACTCGCTTCTGGTGATCTGGATCGCACTCGACTCGGGTTGTTTTCAACATTTTCACCTACCCCCATAATCTCTCCCTAATTAATTAGGGTGACTCTAATCATGACTTGACGGCTTGAGATGATAACGTGGGGAGGTGAGTGGTCGGTTCAGAAGTCGATATTTTAAAATTTGAAATCTCTTTACTTTCCTGACGTCTCGGTTACTGGGTCCACCCTCTCTTTATAAATCCCCCATTCCATACTCACAACTTTCTTTATTGTCTCTGTCACACCTCTTATCAATCAATTCATTGCTCGTTTCTTTTAGACAAGTCCAA